CATCTACAAAATAAAAATCATAAAGTTTGAATATTTTTAGCACATATTTTTTTATTGTCTCTTTGATTGTGTTGTCATAAAACCATTAATTTTACTATCACTTGATACATTAGTAAATACAACCCAATATGTCTAATTTTTTATTTATATGTCATCCGAATCATATAGATCAAAATGAGTGGAGTGAATCAAGTAAATTTATTGCGTATAATCTAATTTTGATAAATTTGAAGGTGCATCCATAGATTCAATCTAAGATGGCTCCTTAGAATCATATTTTCTATACACACACACTTGTAAGTATACAAGTATATTATATTACATACTTATATATATGTACTCTTATCACGGTATTAATACTAAGATATAAGTATATATAATGTAGTTATAAGTATACTTATATGTGTATATTATAGACTTATATAAGTATATTTTATATAAGTACATACATATAATTATATATAAGTACATTGCATCTAGTAATATATAAAAAGTATCTAATACTATTATAAAAGTATGTTGGTATGTTAAAACATTTCTTTCAAAAATGCCCTCCAAACCACATACATGCATCCATAAAATACATACTTGCATACATATAAACACATACATATACATGCATACATTCTTAATAATGACATAACTCTCCTATTAATTACCCACTAATATCAACTTTTATTTTTTGTAACCCCTCCACTAATCCAATATTAATGTTATCATAATTTTTTTTAAGATTGTAAGTTGTATTTGACATAAAAGCTGAGAATTGAATGCACACATATATGACAAACTAATAATATACATTTCAATTTGCAAACAAAGTGTCAACTTAAAATGCTTACACGCATACATTCTTAATAATGACATAACTCTCCTATTAATTGTCCACTAATATTAACTTTTATTTTTTGTAACCCCTCCACTTAAAATGCACATATGACAAACTAATAATATACGTTTTAATTTGCAAATAAAGTGTCAACTTAAATTACCATTAGTGCATGCATTCATGCATACTTGAAATGATATTTACATTTTTAATTGTAGTTTTTATTTAAGTGACAATTACATTTGACTGTTATGGAATCCAAAAGCCTGTTTTTATTTATTTATTATAATAGCCCTTACTTGCAACCTATATAAATTCACTCATTTGATGATTTAGATTTACACTTACCTCTTACAACCCTAATAGCATCCTATACTCACCCCATGACTTTACTATGATATTATTTGGATGATACAGGCTCGCCAGTGAAAATATTATCCCTTCAGAAGAGATAACGACAAAGGGGGGTGAAGACGATTGAAGTTGTGCTAAGGAAGTACTGAGCTTTACTTGGATTATACTTTATCCTGATGTGATTGTTAGACTGACGTCTATATGCAGATTGAGAATACGATTGATACAAAGAAATGTGAAGAATTCGGATTGAGGCTAAAGTTTGAGGTCTAATTTGGGGGGGGGGGGGGCTATTTCTATAATTATTACTATGTACTTAATTGTGATTTGAGAGAAATATTGTATTATCCATGAACTTAGTAGATATATATTTTTTAGCATGTTACTAATTATATGATAATAGAAGAGAGAGAAGGTTAAAGTAAGAATTTTATTTTGTTATAATGGATTAGTAAAAATAAAGATAATTAATATAAACTAGAATAACATGACACACTTAACATAAAAGTAAAGAATAAACTTGGAATTTTTGTCTTTTGTGTAAATTTTTTTATATAATAAGTATATTATAACCTCCCTAATGTTAAAACTATATTCTAAATTTGCACATAAAACTACTAATAGTTATTAAATGCCATTCATTATCTTAAATTATAAAGTAAATAGAACTATGTCTTTTAAGATTAAAAAAATTGTATCTTTTAGGTATTCCATGATTTGCCAGTGTTCACAAAATAACCCTGAATTTTTTCACAAACAACCATGGATCTTCATAATTTTCACAAAGACCATTGAAATTTTATATATTTATTAAAAATAAAATACTGAAACTTCATAATTTTTTTACAGATAAACCCCTATATAGTTCAAAACTTAAATCTTAAGAAGCTTGAAAGAAGTATATGATCTAAATTGTAAGAAAATTACAAATAAGTCCTTAAATATTGTTATAATTATATTCAAAATGAAACTCTTCCATTAATTAAACAATGAATTGTGTAAAGTATTAGAACATAAAACAAACATATCTACGTGTAACGCACGTGCACTATACTAGTATCATATAAATAGAGTATATAACTATACTTAAAAAAGAATAATATAAGTATGTAACAAATACATATATAACTATATAATACGTATTTATAAATAAGTAATATATTCTTATGTGATACTCTCTCTCTCTCTCTAAAGTTGTAACTTATAAAAATATACAATATTTTTACATATAACATATGTATATATAATATATAGCTATATACCAATATGTAAGTATATACTAATACATACTTATATATAACTATAATAAAATTAATCTAATTTTAATCAATTTTTTGTAAAAAAAAATCAAAGAATTAAAAAAAATCCTTACAGACCCTGTTTGGCTCAGACCCATGCTCGAGCCCAGCTAGGGCACCTCGGGTCTCGGTCCGAGCTAGTCATTTTGCCTGGCCCGGACCCAGATCTCCGGGCAGGGCCGGGCCTCATCGGCCCGAATAGATAAGCCTATATTATAATTCTTAGTTCAAGTAATACTATTAAAATAATTATACTGTCTATACTATAAAATATTTAGCTAATTTAATTTTTAATTATGGTCTTAAATAATTTAGTACTATACATATTTTATAAAATTTTATTATACTATCATTAACAATTAATAGTACTATTATTAATATTAAATATTTTTTTAAAAAGGTTAGTTTTAGTCATTACCAAATATATATTATTCAGTATCATGTAATAATCTTTGAGTAAATATTCTAAAAAAATATTGACTTATTTATTTAATTATTTAGTAATATAATACTAAATAAATAGTATAATTCATAATTTATGTGATATTATTCAAATAATTACACTATTTATGAGATTTAAAATTTATTCTACTTATTTTATTGCTTATTGTATTATAGTATAATTCTTAATAGTATTTAATTATATAATATTCTACTTATATTATTATTTTATCATAATTCATAAATAATTATTATAATAATTTAATTGGTTACTATCGTGTACACTTGTTTTATAAATTATTTTATTTTATTATTTTTAAATAATTAATAGTTATAATATTATTGATAATTATAATTATTTAGGAAGATGAGGAGATGCATAATAAATAAGAGGTTATGTTAATTGAATGAAAGATTAATTAAGACAATGACATAGTTAGAATTTATTAAAATTTGAGAGGGTATAAAAGAAAATTAGAACTTTTAACAGCACAATATTTTTTTAATAATAGTAGCTTTGATTTTAGCATTGCATACAAGAGATAAACAATTACACTATTTTTAGTTTGGGATCCCTTTCGTCTATTTCTTATAGGCTATTCCCCAATAGCTCATGAATAGAACAAATTTTTAAAACAACCTCAAACTAGTTTTTATTTTTCAAAATCGACCCATTTTTTTGTTTACCAAAATCGACCCACTTTTTGTCACATCAGTTTAATCCCATTCCTAAACTGTCGGGGTTGGCAACCCCGACTGTTTAGAAGGTTGTTAAACCCCAATTAGAAACCTTAAACCCGATTTTTATGTCCTAAATAGTCGGGGTTGGCAACCCCGACTAATTAGGAAATGAGATTAAGCTGACGTGACAAAAAGTGAGTCGATTTTGGTAAAAAAAGTAGGTCGGTTTTGAAAATTAAAAACTGGTTTGAGGCTGTTTTGAAAATTTGTTCCTCATGAATAATAAGCTGAACAATTCTTTTATAAAAAACGAAGCTTGATACTTTTATCATTTTGACATCCCGCCTTCAAATGTAACACTTGGTCGAAGAAAAAGTGGGGAGGAAGAAAAAAAGATTAAAAAAGATTAGCGGTGTAGCTTGTTGCCCGCGTGTCATCAGCACATATGTAATATTTTAGTTTTAAATTAAATAAAAAAAACATTACATAAAAAAAAAACCGTTTCCTCCAACCGTCCCGAAACCCTAATCGAAACCCTAACCCTATCCAAGCACAAATCAACCGATACCAGCTCTCTCGCCAAAGTCATCAGGGAAATCAAGAACCATATCATCGGCAACAAGACCAAGAAGCTCCTCTACCTCAAGCTCGGCGCCGTTCCCAAGATCGTCTCCGTTCTCGCTTCTGCGGCCGAGGGAGAGGGCGGCGATGCGGCG